CTATTTAGAATAGTTTTTTCGATATATTAATCTATAAATTATAAATATTACGTAATATATTAATTTAAAAAAATTAAAAATTTTAAAAATTTTAACTAAGTTAAGAAGTAATTCTCGATACGCTAGTTAGCCTATAGTAATCTCTATAGCGATCTCTATAGTAATTCTCTCGTAATTCTCTCGTAATCTACGATACGTTATTTACTCTATAAGTAATTCTATAGTGATTCTCGATCCGGATCGGAGTAGGATTAGAGTAGGATTAGAGTAGGGTTAATATAGTATCGATCCTATATCGATACTAGATTAATCCTTATTAGGCGGGCATATATGTACGTTCGACAGTGCGTTCGACAGTACGTTCGACAGCGCGTTCGACAGCGCGTTCGACAGTACGTTCGATAGTGCGTTCGACAGTGCGTCCGACAGTACGTCCGATAGTGCGCTCGACGGGACGCTCGACAGTAGACAGTGCGTTCGACAGTGCGTTCGACAGTGCGTTCGACAGTGCGTTCGAGGGGACGCTCGACAGTACGTTCGACAGTGCGTTCGACAGTGCGTTCGAGGGGACGCTCGACAGTACGTTCGACAGTGCGTTCGACAGTGCGTTCGAGGGGACGCTCGACAGGACGCTCGACAGGACGCTCGACAGGACGCTCGACGTAGTAGGAAGATAAACAGGCCGCTCAATACTATATACCTATATAGCACGTAGGAGGTGGAGGCGTAGAAGTCGCGTAGTTAGATAATAATTAGGAAGGTACGACGTATATAGTAGATATACGCGAACTAGCGATATACGCGAACTAGCGATATACGCGAACTAGCGATATACGCGAACTAGCGATATACGCGAACTAGCGATATACGCGAACTAACGATATACACGAACTAGCGATATACGCGATTTAACGATATACGCGAACTAGCGATATACGCGATTTAAGTAAATAGAGCGGATACGGTCTCAATATGCTTAAACCCGTAAACGGTTCCAAACTAGTTTCGAACCGATTCCGAATCGTATTCGAATCGGTTTCGAACCGGGTTCGAATTGTGGTGGAACCGTATCGGATACGTATTCGATCCCCTAAACGGTTTCGAAACCGTATCGAAACCGTGTTAATACTGTATCGATCTAGGGGGGGTTGGGCATCTTAGTATCGCCTAGAATTCAAACAAGAAAAATTCTAACGGTAGTCTTTAAAAAAGAAGAAAAAAATAGTGCTCCTAGTAGGTTTTAAATCAACAGATTAAGCCTCCGACCTAGTAATCAAACTAGGATCGATCTAGGATTAAACCTAGTTTGGTAACTAGATCCGAACTAGGTCCAAACTAGGATCTGATCCTAGATTGATTCTGGATTGAGCCCCTATAGAAGGCCAGTATAGTATCGAGCGTCCTGTTAATCGTTCTGCTACTCGTAAATCTTATTATCGAGCGTCCCGTCGAGTGTCCGAGCGTCCCGCTACGCGTACACCTTACTCTACTCGAGCGTCCCATCGAACACACTGTCGAACGCACTATTGAGCGAGCGTGTAGTTGAGCGTGCAGTTAAGCGTATAGTTAGGTGTATAGTTGGGCGTACAGTTAGGCGTAGACTTTTTCGATTATAGTTCTACTAGTAGTAAATGTAGTGGAAACCGTATCCAGGCTCTATACTATAGCGAGACTTAACACCGTGTTAACACCGTATTAAACCTCGAAATCGATTCCGAACCGGTTCGAAACCGGTTTCAAACATTGATTCTATTACCGATTTGAGTACGTCGACTCGGATCGAGACCGGTTCAGAACCGTATAGAATACTATATCGTGTCGAAATTGTGTTGATACGGTATTAATACGGTGTTAATCCCCCTAAAGGATCGAATACGCACCCCGAAACGTTTCTACCACAGTTTAAAACCAGCTCGAGACCGATTCAGATAAGATTCGGAAGCGGTTTGAAACCGGTTCAAAACTATTTACGGGTTTAAGTGTATTATTTACTCTTATCCTAAGTTTATAAGGTTATCTTTAAGTATATCTACTACTATATAGCTCGGGTAGATCTATTACGTATATACCTTTCTAGTTATCCTTCTAAGCGTATATCTCCTTAAGTATACTATATCGTACATAGTAATTATCTAACTATATACCTAAGTAGTATATACGCAACTTCTACGCGTGCACCTTCTCGTGTACGAACTGCACGCTCGACTGCACGCTCAACTACTTAGTACTTAGTACTATGTACCTAGGTACATACATCCACCATACGACCCACTTCTAAACAGCCTACTAAGTACCGAACCACATCCTGCCACCAAGCCACCTACTGCCAGAAGACCGCAGAAGACCACACCCCGAGACACTCAGACGTCCTCACGAACGGTATCTGCACAAATTTCAAAAAATGCCTCCCAAAACTCCTAAAATTCAGCACTACCAGTGGATACAGCAAGCACACAAGAGATGGTGGTGTACTCCAAGTCCGAGGAACGAGCGTTTAATAACCTGGGATTGTACCTTCGCCAAGAATACGATTCGATAGGGACTGTATGTATCCACAAAGCAATTGTACGCGTTTTCCCAGGTCTAGCACAGGGGACGATGTCAGAGGAACGAGCATTCAATGACCTGGTACACGAACGCTCAACAGTCCGTTCGATATTGCGTTCGAGTGAGTACTACACGCGTAGAAGGACGCTCGACAGGACGCTCGAGTGCTTTAAGTGCAGGCGTAGCAGGACGATTAATGGGACGCTGGGCAGGACGCTCGGTACTATGTACATAGTAGGCAGGTACCTAGCCGAATTCAAGGGTTCTGAGATACGGTTGCGAGAGATTAACCGTTTCTCAGTTTGAGAAGTCTAGTTTAAAATTGGATCTCTCGTCTTTCTCTTTAAGTACGACGTCTCGCTCTTTAAATCCGTACAAAAGTAGTATTGAGCGTCGCAAAGTATGTAGTGGGAGTTTTGTCAAAATAATGTAGGAGTCTTCTCAAAATAGAAGAATTCTTAGTCTAGGGGAGGTTTCAAAATACTATGTACTACTAGTACTAGTAAAAGGCTTTTTCTCTTTTTTTCTTTTCTCTTTTTTCTCTTTTTTTCTTTTTTACTTTTTTTTACTTTTTTATTTGTATTTTCTTTTGAAGTTTTGAAGTCGAAAAAATATACCGAGTAGGGCTCGAACCCTAGTCCTACTATATAGGCCATAGTAAGGTAGATCAACACCGTATCAACATAGTTTCGATATAGTATTCGATAGGGTTTCGAACCGTAGTGGCGCCGTATAGAAATTGTGTTAGATACAGTTTCACTACAGTTCTAAGCCGGTTTCGAACCGATTCCGAGTCGTATCCGAATCGGTTTTGAACCTTGACGGAACCGTATCAGATACGTATTCGATCTCCTAAGCGGTTTCGAAACCGTATCGAAACCGTGTTAACACGGTGTTATAACTATATCAATTATATAGGGGCTATGCACCTATATACTATGTATATATATGTACCTACTCGTGTATCCTGTCGAACGTCCTACTATATGCATAGTATCTTGTCTATATACTTGAACCTCCGAACGGACTACTATATACTATATATATAGTACTAATAGGACTATAGTATATAAGGTAGTAGTATATAGAATCAAAACTGTATCAATATAGTATTAATATCTATTAGTATACGTAGTTTAGATATAGTATCCGATACGGTTTCGAACCGGTTTCGATTCGCTTAAATCGGTAGTAGAATTAACGTTTAAAGCCGTATTAGAAGCAGTTTCGAACTAATTCCGATCTGCAATTTCTTTAGAACTACTTAGTACGTCTACGTTTAGTTCTAGTTACTATACTCGACGAAATCTGCGCTTAACTGCACGCTGAACTACACGATCAACTATACGCAGTGCGCTTATCAGTACGCTTACGAGTACGCTCGGCAGGACGCTCGAAGAGGTGCACGCGCAGGAGTACCAAAAAACCAGTGCACAGGTCCCAAATAATACAAGTACTAGTAGTGCTGTCGAGGTTCACAAGTTCGCTGGATCAGTTCAGGTTCAAAGTTTAGAAACTTTTGGAAGTTCAGGTTCAAAGTTCAGGGACGGGGTAGGATGAATATTCGTACTAAGTTCACCGGGCGCCTGCGTTTGGCTCCTAGGAGTATAAAGACCTTAACAAAAAGATAAACGCCAGTCGACCTGGGCAGGGCCTCTAATTATTGGTATAGTGCGTAAGAGTTATAGAGTTCAAGTGTTGCAGAAAGATATAGGTTCACGTAGGAGGAGGCTCTAGCAGGTGTACGCGCATAAGAAGGAGGCTCGACAGGATACTCGTAGGACGCTCGATTGAACGCTCAACGAGGTGTTCGCGCAGAAGGACGTTCGATAGGATACTAGGTAAGAGGGTAGTAGGCCTAATAATTAGGAAGGTACGGAGTAGAATAGTACTCGGTGATTTATACGCGCAGAAGGATAATCGGGAAGGTACGTACGTGGTAGATCTCACTTAAGCTACTAGTAGTTATACACTTTATCTAGATAAACTTAGAAACTTAGAAACTTATACTAAATTTAGGATCTAAGTAAATAGAGCTACTAAATACGGATATAATACGAACCTAATACGGTTAAACCCGTAAACGGTTTAGAGTCGATTCGAAACCGATTCGGAACTACTATATAGGCCATAGTAGAGTAGTTCAATACCGTGTCAACACCGTATTAATACAGTTTCAACACGGTTTTAACACGGTTTCGATATAGTATCCGATACGGTTTCGAACCGTAGTGAAACCGGTTCCACTACGGATCCGAATCGGTTCTAAACCGGTTTCGATCCGAGTCGGCGTGCTTAAATCGGTGATAAAATCAACGTTTGGAACCGGTTTCGAACCGTAGTGGAATCGATTTCGAGGCTCAACACCGTATTAACACGGTGTTGAACCTCGAGAGTCTCGAACACGGTTTAGAGCCTAGATACGGCTATAAATCGATTTTATTACTATTTCTACGTTTACTACTACTAGTAGACCTATAATCGAAAAAGTCTACGCCTAACTGTACGCCCAACTGCACGCCCAACTGCACGCCCAACTGCACGCCCAACTGCACGCCCAACTGCACGCCCAACTGCATAACTAACTATACGCCCAACTAACAGTACGTTCGACAGTGCGTTTCAATACTATGTAGTGCATTCAACAGTGCGTCCAACAGTGCGTCCAACAGTGCGTCCAACTACAGTACTCGCTCAACTGCACGCTCGCTCAACAGTGCGTTCGACAGTACGTTCGACAGTGCGTTCGACAGTGCGTTCGACAGTGCGTTCGACAGTGCGTTCGACAGTGCGTTCGACAGTGCGTTCGACAGTGCGTTCGACAGTGCGGACGCTCGAGTAGAGTAGGTGCACGCGTAGCAG